ATATTTACGACAATTGGATGGACTATACAATAGGTAAGTATTTACTCTGTCAGTTTACTGTCTGTGTGGTAAAGATGGAAATTGTTTCCAATGTCCAATCTGTGCTAGCTTGCTGCTTATGTGTATCAATAATTTTCCAATAAATAATTGCAACAATTGAATTAAATATAGCAGATTTGCGCCTATCTGAGAATCTTGCAAATCACTGCCAGATTCAGTGACTTTGCTTGCAGCTCACTCAATGTGATAGTAGGGTACAATTATCAGCTGTCTAAAACTGCCCTTTGAAGATACTCAGAATGAAGTGGAGGAGTTTAATGATTATTATAACACATGTAATGTGCCTCCCTTTTTGCAATTGTCATCTTATGGCAAGCTGCACAATTGGAGATGTCAATAGGACAGTAGCACGTGTTCCTTTTCACATTTGCTTACAATTAAAGTTCACTGTCAGCAGTAAATTAATTGTCCAAGAAATGCTGTGTGAAACTTTCAGCATGGGCTTTTGCTATCTGTTTTAGGGAAAACGAAAAGAATCATCTTGAAACCTTTATTACAACTGTTCAACTTGAACAAAAACAGGATGATGGGAGTTAGATCTTTGATACGACTAAAAAAAATTGTTTACTATTTACTGGCCGGTTTTTGGGGGGTGCAAGGTGAGGAATGAATAATGGTTGAACTGTCATGTTCAGAAGACAATGCAAATAAGGTGACCATGATGGTCAATGCTAACACAGGTGTCAAAGACAAGGATGTAGTGATGAAATAAGTTTAATGATCTCACACAAGTGATCAAGGTCGGTGAGTACAACCGACCATCTGCACCATTAACCTCACACACTGCTCCATTCACCAAACTGTTATCATTCATTTGCTAACAATTTTCATTGATCACTACTTCACATTTATAAGTTTAATCACAACTTCACAGTTTTAATATTGCTGGAAGATGCACAGTCGTCTTTCTTAACTTGTACATACTGTTAACTATTCAACTGTGGAGACATATCACTCAAAAATATTGTAGTAGAATTTCCTTTCTCTTGAAAGACCAGATAGCTCCTAGAGATGGCAGCAGCAGCAAATCATGACTGGAGGAGATGGAAATAGGAAATATTGTTGTGGCTATCATAGATGCTGTGGGCTACATTGTGGCAAAATCCATTGAAAGTTATGATACATTCCTGACTAATGAACCTCCTCTAATCCCACTTCATTCTTATCCCACAAATGTTTGGAATTCCTTGCTGCAGATGATGTAACTTTGTACCTTTCATTTCCCTCCCTCACCTCATTTCCTTCTTTCTGAGCTTTGTTTTCTCTACCTAAATTTTCTGACACTCATGAACAGCTGCCTGTGGTGCTGGAAATGGAAGGTAAAAAAAAACCATCACTTCATCTGACATTCACAGTCACAATCTCAAATGCTGATATGGTATGTACTTTAGACCCTAGTAAACAGCATTCATACTCTTAGAATTTCCATTTCATCAATGTTCCTTCTATTGCCTATTAGCCAGCCAGCTCAGACTGCAGCTCACCACATAAAGGTGATAGGGTCTGAAACTGGTCCAGAGCTGCTTTGAGGTCTTCTTGCAAGACAGTCTGTAGTCTCTCCCACTGAAAGTCAATGGCTTTCCACCAGTCACAATGTTACTGGGGTAGCACTGTGTTGGAGCATTAAGATAGGCTGAGGCACCCCACAACTGAGGCACTAAGGGATTCCAAACAGTGACTATTTAAGTATGGTATGGATTACTCATAAAGGTTATTAGACACAGTTGGTTTGAAATTGTTGTTCTTGGTTTTTTTTTCAAAATTAGGACCAAGAGGATACTGGATTGTTCCTATGGTTAGAGGATCTGGCGATTTATTCAGGGGAACAGCAATGCCATAATACTCTCACAGAGTCTGTCAAGACTGCATATTTTGTCCCTTTGCATCCTATTTTTCTTCTTCCTACTCTCTGAGCTGGTTGCTGAAGCCCAGGTGGTAATGGTTGTCCCCTCTTTGTGGCCAGCTTATGGAGGAAAAGCTGTAAATTATCACACAATGAGATGAGTATGAAAGGTGTATCATGAGGGATCTAAGCAGTGGAACCATTGGTTCAGCATGTTGACAATCTGCTCCATTACTTTCCTAGTTGTAGCAGTGCTCTCAGTGTGTGAGTGACAACCATGTGTGAGATTATGGAAAGGAGTCATTAGTTATCTGCACAGCACAAGGCCCTTGCCTTTGAGCAGTACTCTCTTGTTCAGTGTGGTAGCTTGAAGATACAAAAGGTGAATAGCATAGGTTGAATGTATCATGACTGCTGCCAGGATTGCAAACAATCTCCAATATAATATTTCCAGTGTGGGCGTTAACCAACTGCACATTGAGCAAGGTATATTCTTTGTGGCTGTGGCTCATCTCCCTGTTGAGATGGATTACATACAGGGCCATGTGTCTGTAGTAGAAGGCTTCCTGCATTTAAAGAAGGCCAATATTCTAGCAAAGCAGTTTATCCTACTCTGTCTGTTTAGAAAGAAGGCAATGAATTCTATGCATATAGAGCCTTTGTGTCATCTCAGAAGCAGCAACAAATGGCAAACACAAGAACTCCTGGCATTAAAATTTGGGGGCTATTGGCAGCACTGTCCTTGTCCTGCAGTTTCATGTGCCCAATTCTGTGAATCTCTACATGGTCCATGAAGACTCAAGATGGTTAAGGCCTCCATGCTTAGAACCCTTCTCCTTATCTGTTACCTTTTTATCTGCTTTCTCTGTTCAATCTTCCTCTGCGGCTGAAACTCAAGGGAAGCTTTAACTGTAGCACTTTTGACAAGGAGCAAGCAATGTGCTCATAAATGCAAAAGTGACCTCCAAACATTCTGTACTATTCACTGCTCAGGTCGACAACTTCTCACAACTCCACTAACTACTTCTATTCCTCTGTAGCAGCAAGTCCATAGTCTAAAGCACTTCATCTGCAAATTGGATGCTGTTGCTTTTAAACACATTGGTGGGTGATTTCTCATGCAATTCTCTCAAATTCAGCTATGTTTGGTTAAGAGGGGGTTATTGTGAATGACGAGGTTCAACATGGAGATCAAGCATCAACTCATCTGACTGATTTCATGATCTACCCACTGGCATTTTTTGGGTTCATGTACAGTTCGTTTACATTATTACCCCCAACAAAACATTGTAATTCTGTCACACCAGAAATGATTGGGATTTTGTTTTACTCCAACCAGTTCCCATAGAGCTGCAACCACTTGGCAGCCACGAGCTGAACTTCACATAAGATATGATTTAGAGCATGGAAACAGTCCATTCAACCCAACCAGTTCAATACCAAAATTTATGATCCACATGAAACCCCCCCATCTTCCCTCCTGTAAGTCTGCCATTGTTGCCCTCTGTTCCATTTTCCTTGACATATTTGTCTAACTTCCTCTTTAATTCCACCTGCATAATTTGCTTCAACCACTCCCAAGGGAGCAAGTCCCATATTCTCACCACTGTTTGGATCAAGAATCTTCTTCTGAATTCTATACTGGATTTCTTAGTGCACTGTCTTACATCATTGTCTTCTATTTATTAATTTTGTGCAGTCACTGCACAATACTCTATCAAGTCCTTTAAGCAATTTAAGTCTAGGCAGGCTGCAAAATCCAAAGAGCTGATAGGAAATTATTTAGCGCTAGAATGAAAAGCAACACAATGTATGGTATTGCATTGAGCAACAGATTTGCTGAAAATCATATCCAACTAGGAGCAGGCACATACAATAATGCAAATTGCAGAAACACACCTAAAAATGTTGATAATGAAACATAGTGAGCCACGGAGAACAAGGAGACAATGGTCTATCACCAGAGTTGCAATGGATTATTGGAAAACGTCTCATGAATGTCTGCCTCATACACGGTCAAACAGCATAACTGAGCAAAATTGATACATTTTTAAGTATAATTCACAGTCTTTCATTATTCCATTTGATGGCATATTTCAGTTATCGCATCCTCAATGAGATTCAGCCACCTATTCCTCTGCCAAGCCCAGGTAACTGACTTCATTACAGTTGATCTGTTTTATAGTTTTAGCAAGTTGTGGCTGCCTATGTCCTTCGTGCATCCATCTTTCCTCCGCAGCTTTGAGGCATAACAACCATTAGTATAGGGCAAGGTACTATAACTATAACCATACTCTATTATTTGCTTTTGGTGATAATTCCAAACTTTTCAATGCACCAGTAACTTCAAGTCTGAACCCAAAGTAAGATTTTTTTTTTAAACCAAGGTCATGGTCAGTAAGAATAGGTTGTTGGACTCATTTGTGAACATAGCAATGTCAAAGCTAATCAAATGTTAATGCATCTACTGAAGCTCCAAATTCATCTCACAACTTAAAAACCGAAAGAACTGCGGATGCTGTAAATCAGGAACGGAAACAAAGTTGCTGGAAAAGCTCAGTTCCGAGGAAGGGTCACCGGACCCGAAACGTTAACTCTGTTTTTTCCTTCACAGATGCTGCCAGACTTCCTGAGCTTTTCCAGCAACTTTGTTTTTGTTCATCTCACAAATTGTTGTATAATCTCTTTTCACCTCAGTACAAGATTGAAAATAACTTATCTCTCAAAGATATTTTAATTTTCTGTATCACACAATATTTTATATGATTCATAAGATAAAACAATTTCTTTACAGTACACATTAATCTGACTTTTCCAAATTCATTTTTCTTGTAAATTATTTGAAGCCTTGTAATTAAGGAAGCATAAAGATTTTGCTTTAATGTAGGCTATGTTTTAACAATACAATTAAGTTTGAAAAGTAGACTTTTTCCCCAAATATCTATTGTATACTGAGATAACAAGGTGTAGAGCTGGATGAACACAGCAGGCCAAAGAGCATCAGAGGAGCAGGAAAGCTGACATTTGATTTTCTGAAGAAGGGTCTCGACCCGAAACGTCAGCCTTCCTGCTCCTCTCATGCTCCTTGGCCTGCTGTGTTCATCCAGCTCTACACCTTGTTATCTCAGATTCTCCAGCATCGGCAGTTCCTACTATCTCTGTATCTATTGTATACTGCTGGTGGAGACTCGCAAAAGTAATTATTTGTGGAAGTTTACAAAAGATTGCATGTCTTAGACTGAGAACCTTGTGCCTTTTGCGAAGCATCATTAGCTGCAATTTGAAAGGGAGAGACAAAAATCACATTAAAAGAATAAAATCTGACTTCAATGATACACATTAGATTGGCAGTTTTATAATCTTATAAATTATGGGTTAAAAATTTTTGAAATACCATTTAAATTTATATGTAAACACACACATATCAGTTCTTGGCAACAGCCTAAGCAATCTGAATATTTTTCCTCACTTGCAATTTACTCACACTTTTAACATACTATTGAATTAATTTTCAGAAGTTTTACTTAGTGAATGATGAGTCGTAACACCCCAAAAATTGTGAGCAATGATTTATCTTCACATTGCAGTTATTGTTATAACTGTGCTTAAAATGGATGTTCGGACCCAATTTTGTCATTGTGTCACAGGTCCTAATTTCTATTTTTGGACTCATTCAACCCCCTATACATGTATACTGCATGATCTGATCAGCACCTGGTGGATCTTCAGCTAACTGACAACTAAACAGGTGAGTTGTTCAGAGAATTCTCCTCCTGGCCCCAGAATCCATGTATGGACAGCTGTCAATCTAATTTCCACTATTCCTGAAGAATCATCTTCTCCGCTGGCTCCCTGCTCAAAACCAATCATCCACTGGTCTAAAGGCCAAATGCCCATCTGATATTGTAGGAGCTATCTGTTCCTCCAATGCATCCAGTTTCTAGCTGAAGCCTGCTGGCCAGCTACTTGAGCTCTGCAAGAAATCTCACTCTGTGCATCTAATTTAACACATTTTACAGGATGCACTGAGTTGCATTTCTGCTACTGTATTTGATATAGAATTTACAGTGTAAAGAGTGGTAACTTGGCCAAACTGCTCGATGCAGGTGATAATGCTGCACACAAAAGTCCTCCCACACTATTTGATCTGATTCATTCGACATATCCTTCTGTTTTCTGATTTATATCCAGATGTCTAACCTTGTTTTGCTGCAAGTTCTTCTTCCTTTCGTTGTTTCTCTTCTTCAATGGCTTTCACTTTTGCTTCATGCTCATCAGCCAGTGCTTTCCACTCCTTTCTATTATTGAGGATGCCACTGAGCATAGGCTGAATTTCAGAATGAAATCTGGTGAATTCCTAATATGGCAGAAATAGTATTAGTGTAATTGCAAATGACTAATTACACATTCACAACATTCAAATATTCTCATGTAGGCAAGTATGAGGTGGTTCAAATTGGTAGGAGGAGTAAGGAGGTCATATATTCTGTGGAAAATGAGCACCTAAATAAGGGACATGTAAAGATAGATGTACCAATCATAAAAAATAAAGCATGCTGGAGACCATAAATTAAGCAATGTTGCAGGGAAGTTATGTTAAACTCGTATACAAACTTGGAGTACAATCAGCGGCTCTGGTCTCCAAATCATAAAACAAATAGAGAGGCACTGGAGCTAGACCAAAAAAAATCTATTATAGTTAGTTATCGCCTCTCAGTTCTAGTGTGTCAAAAATATTGAACAGGCTGTGGCTCTTTTCTCTTGAAGGATTTGATGGGATAAATGTAGGAAAGGTGTTTCCACTTCAGGTGAGACTACAGAAACATTACAGAAGAAGTCCAAAAACCCATCATGCCTACATTGACTCTTTAAATGACCATCTCATTTAGAGCCATTTTTCTGCTTTCTCCCTATAACTCTACACATTTTCTTTCTTTCCAAATAGCCATTTATTGTGCGTTTCAATGCCTCAATTGGAGATGCTGCCACAACACTCACTGCCAGTCCATTCTAGACCTTAACGACTCTGTGTGAAAAAGATTTTCTTCAGATCACTTTTGCTTCTTTTACTAATTATTTCACATCCATGCCTTTTTTTTCTCAATCCTTTCATAAGTGGGAACACCTTCCTTCCATTTACACTGTCCAGACACTTCATGACTCTGAATACCTCATCAGATGTCCACTCAGCCTTCTCCTCTCTAATGTCTCTAATCTATCTCCATAATTTAGAATTGTCATTCCTGGAACCATTATTATAAACCTCTCTGCATTCTTCTCATTGGCTTCACATCTTTCTTAAAGTGCAACACCAGAACCAGAAACAATACTCCAGCTGAGACCAAACCAGCATCTTATACAAGTTCAGCATAACGACCTTGTTCTACTGAGGCCTTAATAATAAAGCAGAGAATACTGTATGTTTTATTAACTGTTGTCTCAATCTGTTTACCATTTCATGATGTGTGCATTCATAAACTGAGGTCCCTCAATTCCTGCATCCTCTTTAGGGTTGTATCTTTTTTATATCGTCTCTCCACGTTCTTCCCAACAAAAGCATCACCTCACATTTGATCACATTGCATTTCATCCACCGCCTATCCACTCACTCTACCAACATGTGCATCTCCTTTGAAGTTTTATTTTATCCTTCTTACGCCTTACAGTTCCTTCAAGTTTCATGCCATTAGTAACCTTTGAAATAGTGCCCTGTATTCCACAGCCTAGATCATTAATATATGTCAGGAATAACAAAAGTCCTAAAACTGATCCTTGGGGAAACACCACTTCAAACTTTCCACCAGCCTGAAAACTATTAAATAAGTATTACTCTGTTTCCCGACACTCAACCAATTTTGCACTGATGTTTTTACAGTCTCTTTAAATTCATGAGCTCTAACTTTGCTCACAGATTTCTACAGGACAGTGTAACAAATGCCATCTGACATTCCATGTACACTAGATCACCAGCATTACCCTTATTAACTTTCTTTGCTACTTGATCAAAAATTCCAGAAGAGTAAGTTAAGCATGATTTCCTCTTAAGAAATCCATGCTGGCTTTCCTTACAATTTGCATTTGTTCATGTGACTATAACTTTGTCCCAAGTTATTGTTTCTAGAGTTTTATCCATCATGAAAATTGAAATGGCTGGTCTGTAATTGCTTGGTTCACTTTGACACCATTTTTTGAGCAAGACATAATTATTTGCATTATTCAATTCTCTGACACCTCCAAGTCTGGGAAAAACTGAAAAATTGTTACCAGTCCCTCCAGAAATTCTACATTCACTTCTCTTGGCATTCTCGGATACACCTCACCCAATCCTGGTGTCCCATTAACTTTATATGCAGGCAGCCTGTATAATACCTCCTTGAAAATTCTAAATCCTTTTGTCAACTGGATCTCCTCCTCTTTCAAAATGTACTGGTTAGCATCTTCTTCCTTGGTAAAGATGGTTGCAAAGAATTTGTTTAAATCCTCAACCACACTCAGTGCTTCAAATTGTAAGCCCACTTTTGGTCCATAATCAGGAATAATCTTCCTTTTACCACTCTTTTATTGTTTCCATGCCTATACAAAACTTTGGGATTCCTTTTTATGTTAGCTGCCAGTTATTTTTCATATTCCCCTTTTGCTTCAATAATTTGTGTTTTCCAATTATTGAATATTCAGCCTGGTTCTCTATTGTATCTTGTATCTGACATCTGGAAAAGACACATTTTCTTCAATATTATAATTTTTAACTCTTATCATCAAGGGAGTTCCAGATTTGTTTGCCCAAACCTTCTCTTATGGGGGAATATATCTTGATTGTGCCTGAACAACCTGATTTTGAAGGTCAGTCTTTGTGCAGTTGCTAATTCTTCTGCCAACCTTTGACTCCAGTTTATTTGGCTCAAATCCATTCTTACCCATGGAAGTTGACATTCCCCAAACTAACAATTCTTACTCTGGATTCCTCATTATCATTTTCATAGTCACCCTAAACCTTACGATACAATGATCACAGCTCCCTAAAAATGGAAATAACAAGGTGTAGAGCTGGATGAACACAGCAGGCCAAGCAGCATCAGAGGAGCAGGAAAGCTGACGTTTCGGGTCTAGACCCTTCTTTAGAAATGGGGGAGGGGAAGGAGATTCTGAAATAAATAGGGATGGGGGGAAGTGGATATAAGATGGATAAAGGAGAAGATAGGTGGAGTGGAGACAGACTGGTCAAAGAGGCAGGGTTGGAGCCAGTAATGGTGAGTGTAGATGGGGAGTTAGGGAGGAGATAGGCTGGTCCAGGGAGGACCGACAGGTCAAGGAGGCGGGATGAGGCTATTTGGTAGGAGATGGGGGTGGGGCTTGAAGTGGGAGAGTGGATAGGTGGGAGGACATGTTAGGGAGGCAGGGACGAGCTGGGCTGGTTTTGGGATGCGGTCGGGGTAGGGGAGATTTTGAAGCTTGTGAAGTCCACATTGATACCATTGGGCTGCAGGGTTCCCAAGCAAAATATGAGATGCTATTCCTACAACCTTCGAGTGGCATCATTATGGCACTGCAGGAGGCCCAGGATGGACATGTCGTCCAAGGAGTGGGAGGGGGAGTTGAAATGGTTCGCAACTGGGAGGTGCAGTTGTTTGTTGCGAACCGAGCGTAGGTGTTCCACAAAGCGGTCCCCAAGCCTCCGCTTGGTTTCCC